GATAATTTTGGTGTATCACTTTCAAAAAGAGAAATTCCTATTGCAAGTTGTTCTAATAAATTTAAAAGTGACTTAAGCTTATTCCAAAAATTTTCATCATAAATATATACTTTAATCTTATTATCTATTTTAATTGTATTATTACTAAAAATTTTAGTAAAAATAAGACTTAAAGCCAATTGATTTTTATATACAAAATCTAAACATTTTGCTGTTGAATACCAATGAGTTTTAACAGGAAGTTTTAATGACTTATAGTTAGACCATATTTTTCTTTTTGATATTTTTTTAAAATAGCATTTGAAATAATATGATTATGAAAAAAAATAACAATTTTTTTTGCTTTTTTAAGAATAGTTTTAGCCTATTCGATCTTCATAATATCACCAATTAAAAGATTAATTCCATGAGCTAAATAACCAAAAAATATAATTAAAAGATACTTCTTTTCTAAAATTTCTGGGCAGCTTTCATTACTGCTGCATTATTAGTAATAATAGCTAAAAATTTTATAATATTAATAGACAATATAGTCTTTTCAATTTTATTAGCAATATTAATTGCATTTTGTTGAATTTGTTTAATAGGTTTTGCAGATATAAATACAGGAGTTGGAGTAGTAAATATAATATTCGTCCAATGCTCATTATTTAAATTAGACCTAAATAAATTAATATAAAGATTTATAATTTAAAATTAGTAAAATTTAAAATAAACTTTATAAAGCTATACAAATTTAATTATTTGGTTTTTATAATATAAACTTTTAAACAAAACTGACTAGCTAGTTTTTAAAAAAAAAATTCATATATAAAATTTTATAAAATTTATATATCAATTTTTTAAAACACACCTAATTATTAAAATATAAATTTTTTTTAAATTTTAACCCAACCAAATTATAAAAACTAATTAAATTTTGCATAGTCTAATTATTAAATATTAAATAAAATAATTTAAAAATTTTTATAAATAAATTATTTTATTAAAGATTTTAACTATTTTTAACTCACGGTGACATCACCTATATTTATTATATTAGGCAATAATCTACACAATCTACATCTTATCAATTCTCTATTACTATCTAACACTTATATTGCACATTTAATTCTCTATTACTATCTAACACTTACATTGCATGTAACTAACTATAATACAGTAACAATAGACATTCTTCCATTATATATATTTAATAATTTAGACATTTGGATACCGTGGAGTATAGTGACCAGTTTGCTTGCACTTTCCACACTTTTGTACTGCCTTTTCTAAAGTTAAGGCATTGGCATTTTGATTGGCGTCTTGATTGTTACGTTCTGCTTCTACATTCTGGTTATTACCTTGTCTATCAGGCCTTTTTTCTATACTGTTTTGGTCATTATGTTGTATTTCTATACCACTTTCGCTATTACGGTTCACTTCTCCACTGTGATCATCGTGTCGTGTCTCTAAGCAATTTTGATCATAATGCAATATTGAAATTTATTTTGTTTTTTCATTGCTTTGAATTATTCAAATATTAATTTACTTATAAATTTACTTTGTGCTTTCTTTTTCACAGGCTCTCCTCTGGATTTATATCTGTTTGGTTGTCTACCTTTATGCGTTATACATAGTAGATCACCAATAAGTATAGAGTCATGAATTTGCTTGTTGAATAATTTTTCTTTTGTTTTTTCAATGAATCTCTCCATATAACTAACGAATTCAACCACTTTATCAGCCTTAATTGCCAAGTTAAGGGCTTTTTTTGCATACCCTATACCGAAATCATATTGTTGTTTAGGTCCTTGTAGTCGTTCAGTATTAGATGTCTTTTTAAACCTTACTAATTGTTGAAAAGAAAGTAGTTCGAGCGGAAGCGATGTAGATTTATTTTTTGCGATTTGGTATATTGGAATTTCTTGTTGATCAAAGTACTTGCTTCTTTTGTTCCAACACCGGGGAATTAATAAGATATTGAACAATGCATTAACAAAGTAAGACATAACTCGAAAGAAATATCGACACACTATCCTCTTGTTAATGAGTGAAAGGCAAGTACATAGATGTGACCCATCATTAAGAAAAATTACATGTTGTAATTCTGATTTTTGGCTGTGATGCCTAATTACTTTCCATACTTCCTTGACTGAATTATGAAGAATATCTTTTAACAATGACGAAAACAAGGATTGTAGTTGGTCGTAATCATCTTCTCTGGCTATTTCCTGTTGATAGGAATCGTCTGTAATCTAAGCCAAAGGAAAATAAGATTTTATTATTGTTGTTGTTTTATTTATTTTTTTCTTTTAACTAACTAACTTACAATCAAAACTTACTTCTAAGAGCGATTGCCAGTCAACAATTAAAAAGACATCATAACACAGAGATTGGGCCATTTGATCACAGTGTTTTTGAAGAATTTGTAGTGTAAGAAATTTCTGCAAAGTATTGTCGAGTTCAGAAAAATATTCGTCCATTATGCTTGGTATCCCTCTTGTTGGGATTTCATTTTTATATTCATTCAGGGTAGCTTTTTTTGATTGTTCATTAAATAACCATTGAACTTCATTAACAACATCAGTTAGGCGTGAGACTCTATTTAATCTATCCTTGATTAATTTGTTGCACACTTCCACTCATTGAGTGCTTTGAGCTCCAGCAGTAAAGTTTCGGTTAATAGAATAGCTGGCCCAACTACTCTCACATGAATATAGAACTCTTTTAAGGTAGTTTTTACAAATGCATTCCATTCGATTTCAAACTTTTTAGGACATAAAGAATTCTGCATTGTTAAAAATTTAGAGTGAAACATTTTAAACTGATCTTTTAATTTTCTTTGAATTTTCTTTCTTAAATTTAGGTCTATATGGAAGATGCAATAAAAGTGATGTATTTCTGGATAATTCTTTCATACTGCTGCTAACATAGCAGGATCAGCATCAGAATAGAGAACTATTGGTGTGATGTTACAAGAATTTATTAATTCTTGAAGGACCCACACAAATGTTGCTTTAGTCTTGTCTTCAAGAATTGCTGCAGCTACAATAAGATTCCGAAAATTGTTATCGATCACTATAATTAGCATTAAGATTATATCAAATTGGTTTGTCTTAAATATTGTATCAATAATAACAACATCATTATACATTCCATATATATTGACTTGGTCAGGAATAATGAATTTAACCTTCTTTCTTCTGGGTCAAAACGGGGTTTTACTATCTATCTTGAATCATTGTCTTTCTTTGAATACAACTCGGTAAACATTTGGCATGCATCATTTTTGGTTGGTTTTATTTGTTTTTTAAATTTTTGTATCGCGTTACTTAAGTTTTTTTTATTAATTACTTTATGTGAAAATGAGGCAACCAATAAATTATATTGGGTTGTTATGCCCATTTTACCATGAATTGTCCAAAACTTTATCTTTTCAAGTATTTCATTAGTTAGTTTACGAAATCTTGGTGCTATTTCATCAATACAAGGATTCATTTCATGGTTATATTTCCCGATTATACTATTAACTCTAACACTATTAGCCATTTTAGAAAAAGCGAGATTAATATGCCATGGGCATCCCATCATTTTTGAATCTCTCACTCATCTATCCTCTGCTAAAACAACCTTTTGAGCTTCATGTATGCGAGAATATGAGCATTCTTATGTTTGACATCTTGTAATAGTTTTATTAGCTGAATCTTGTGTACATCTTCTTTTATACAAACTGAAACCTTCTTGTTTGGTATAATCATCAAGGTAACTTTCAGCAATTTTTCATGTTCCAAAGTTTGACTCTTTATTCAATACTAACGCTTTTATTTGCTCCTCATATTAGTGTTTCGGGCAAAATTATATATTTCGCCCAGGCGAAATTTCCGAAATAGGGCGAAATATATTTTGCCCAAAAGCCTGAAATCCGATAATTCCGAAACTGGCGAAATTGGCGAAATGTCCGAAACCTGGCGAAATATCCGAA